AGAAAAAATAATAAAAGATCACGACGTTTCGATCGCAACACAAGCGACCGTCTTCAGGTGAAGACGGTCGCTTTAAAGAACCAAAAAGTATGGATTCCTGCAGTCACGAAAGCTTCAAATAAAGAATGTTATCGTCATTGTAAAAAATGTAAGAAGCAGACTCACGGTCATAGGAATGTTATGGAAAACTGTTTCTTCATTATTTTTTTGCATCTTGGATGTGTGACTTTTTTAAAATATAACTTTAAGAGCAAAAAATATATTCATTTTAAATTATCCTTTGACAAAACCATCCCAAATGTGCCCGATCGTCAGATCTCAGAAGTTAAGTTGGCTTGAACCTCAATAGTGCTTGGATGGGTTGACCAGCGTGCACACAAATACGTTGTGGGCAGTCGAGGCGAGTGTGGCAAATGCCGCTATTGATCTGTACTCCACGCACCTTCACCAACCTGCACTGACCAGCGCGGTGAAGTATGGTCAAATATCTCTCACGGGCCACAAGATGTGGGTGGGCGGGGGGCGAGGCCCTAATACAGCAGTGGATTGACAAAACGGGCAGCATATGTAAGTATTAAAAGTAATACTGTATTGGGAATTTTATTTGGAATAAGCATGTTTTACAATTTAAATATTATGCGTCATATATGCGATTTACATTTGCTTCATGCACGAACAGCTATAAAAAGAAAGAGGCAGGCTCAGACAAGATGGTCTGGAGTCTACAAGGAATGTCCTGCAGAGAGTACAAATTACCTTTGAGAACACCACTGATTGGGGACAACATTCACTATTTGGTAAATTATCAATCCTGCAACCACATGCCTAATTCTGCGAAGAGAGGAAGAACATTCAAGAAAGGAAGGAAACTGAGTGGAAGGGACAAGAGAATATTTGGTGAGTAAATACCAAACGGTGTCGAGGTTATTTTTCGCTTCAACATTAATTAACCGTATGCAAATGTTCACCCAGTTTCATAACAAATACCATCACCACTGTAAGTACATTAAAATGAGACAATGCGACGCACATGATAATAACACTGGAAACAGCACGGACATGAAATGAGAAATAAGGCTTCTCTGATCCCATGTTATAACAGGTCGGGGTGGAGCGGTGACAAGAGCGGTTTCCACACTGTGCAAGAGCCTAACGACCTAATTTCAATTCCTGGCCACAGCTACCAAGAGTGCTGGGTGATAAATAAACTGGTCCCAAGCCTCCACTCCTTCAGCGAGCATGCAAAGACAGGTGTGGTAAAGTATGGTGAAATAACATGGCATGAGGAGGCTTTCATTCAGCAGTGGAATGATGGAGGCCTGAACATTATTGTTTATACAAAATTTTCAAAGCTTTTGATTTAAAGCTTTGGTGACTGCAGGGTTCATATTGTTGGTTCTTTCGGTAAAGTTACTTTACCGAAAGAACCAAGAATATTTTCAAAGCTGTTTCTTGCAATGTATTAATAATACTGATACATCATCAGGAATAATACTGAAGTTTAACTATTGAAAGTAAACTATTATATTTTACCAGGTAAGGCTCACTGAGCCATATAGCTATTTTTCGTAAGCGACCTGGCCTAATGATAGCTCAACGAAGTGGCTTATCATGTGGCAATTTATTGCAGCCATATACTCTTAACGGTGGACCCGGAGAAAAATCCACACGACCACAGGGAGGACATGCAAACTCCAAATATGCAGGCATCAGGGCCGGGATCAAACCCACAACCTCCTGCATACCAGGCAAAGTAATTAACATCTCACCACCGTGTTCAGTTGGTGCCCAGTGAGGAATGGAGGAGGAGAGTTTGATTTATTGGAAATTCCACAGTGCAAAACCACCCATCCAAGCAGCACACACTGATAGTGGGTACAATGCACAAGGAGGAACTTTCAACTGAACTGGACTTTAAACATGTCTGGGTCACATAAGTCTTTTTATAAAAAAAAACGCAAAGTGGTCTGACAACTGGGATCTAAAGAGTAGGCTTGAACGTTAATGTCACTTGCCTTTCAGCAGGAGGATGAAAGTGGTCCTCAAAACCCTGGTCTTTGTGTGCTCGGAATATGCATGATCTATACACGACTATCAATAAACAGATCAAAGTGATGTGAATCGTAACTGAGAACAACGTTGGCCGTGACAATAAATTGGGCAAACGCATGGGGTTACAAGGGGGGGGGGGGGGGGGGGCATCTGACATTTTTAAAAATTCGCTGAAAAAAACAGTCGCCTCTCCAGAATGGCCAAACTTAGCCTCGTTAATAAATTGCATAATTAACATTGCACACATCAGCTGTGGTGCATAGGCAGAAACACACACGTAGTATTGGGAACCAGCTATGGCTGCAAAGTTTGGTCGTACATTTTATGTATTTCGTTTATTGTTAAATTTGAATCACAGTTCCTATGATCACTGTTACATTGTTTTATTAGCTTTATTTTGGTGATTTCGAAAACGTTTTGGTTTAGCCATATTTGTTTGTTGTAGTACAGAGTTAGACTGATAACTTTAATCTATTCTTTGGTTCTTTCGGTAAAGTCACGTATAAAGAAAAATAATAAATTAAATACTAGCATACGACGTTTCGATTGCAATCGAAACGTCGTATGCTAGTATTTAATTTATTATTTTTTATTATTTTTCTTTATACGTGACTTTACCGAAAGAACCAAAGAATAATTCCTGCAGTCACGAAAGCTCCAAAGTTAAGATTGAACTTTAATATAAATTGTCTTATGTTATTGTTTGACTTGTATCCCACTGGGATTTTTGCACACAGCATTGATATACAGTGCTTTTTCTGGAACACTTTGCTTTTTTTTCCTGGATTTTTCTGTTGCCCGTAGTCACTTTAAGATGTTTCTTGTTCATGTTTTTGTTTGTTGCGGTTGCACCCGATTCAAGAGCCGAATGACTCACAAGGCTATACCAAATAAATTAAATAAAAACAAAAAAAAACTGACAACTTGGGTCTGACTGGCACCACCTCCCTCCCTATGAATCTCAAAACAAGTCAAGATCGAAATGCAGCCCATACGCCAATGAATTGTACATTGCTGCAGAAGTGCCAACCATAAAGTTCACGAGCTACACTAACGTTTTGCGTGCTTTGCTATCACAGGAAACCATTGTGGTGCGAATGTTCTCTAATCCACATGTTCGCCTTTTTGTTTCTCAGTATAATAACAAGAATCCCCCTCTTCATAATCATTTGCACACTTTACAGCTTTTATTACATTGCCATTATCCTTGTTTTTGATCCGTGTTTTGAACTTCTTTTTCACCGTAGGTAGCCAACCACGCTAATCGAAGGTGCAAAGGTCGTAGCAGCTAATGTGTACTGATTAACAAACTGTCTGATGTCAGTACAATGGAACGTTGCCTTCTATGAGCAAGTTGAGTTTATCAAAATGCCTCCAATCTGCCCTCGCCTACCTCATCATTGAATCATTTTGATCCCAGCCCACCTTAAATAACTGTCCTCGGTATAATACTCTGATGTGTTTTCTAAATGTGTGCCTCTCGCAGATATCGTCAAATTGTTTTCAAACAAATTGTCTGTGACTTTTCTTTGATCACATTTATCTTCAGCCCCCACTTCGTAGCTTTATTTGATTAAGTTCTTGATAAGTAACTTCAAATTGTAGAACATCGCACAGTATTCGCTCGCTCTCGAAAAGAGAGAATGACTGAGAGAGGTGCAAGGAATCACAGACAAATGAGAAAGGCCGCCAGGCGGTATAAGTATGTGCCAAATTCCACCCCGCCCCCTACCCAAGCTCTGCAGTCCTCTAATAGTAGAGTTTTATCGGCCAATAAAAATCAGTGTTTATATGTGGCAGGAAACCGGAGCGCCTCGAGAAAACCCACGCATGTGGAGGAGGAGGGGGGGGGGGTCAACTTTTTATCCCACATAAACGAAAGAGATGGGAGTCCACCCACATTTGCTGTACCGCCGCCTTCTCCCGACAAGCCAGGGTTACGGCACCTCCTCATCGATGCCCACAGAAAGGAAGTTTCACAATATACACTTGCATTTTTTCGATCCACCAACCCTCCCTCGCCCCGTAGTGCTCCACTACCGCCTGTAGTGCATTCCCATTGTTTGTTATAATGACTGTGCCATTGGCAAATGTGAGGCCGGTTTATAGTTTGTCTCATTTTAAAATCCTTTATATTAAGTTCGCTTGCTTGCTTAGGACCGTGCAAATCTTTCGGTCGTTTTTTAACCCACTTCCCGTGATCCAATCGAGCTGACATTTTGCACACAGACTCGTTGTGCGTGACAATGCATTTTCAAGAAAAAATATTTTGCAAAATTTTACACTGTTTAGGGAAATTTTTTAAATATTTAATTACCAATTGTTTAATGCTGCCAGACAATCATCTGACCCATAGGTGGCAGCCATCTCAAGCCAGAGGACGAGAGGACTCGAGCCGCCCCGATGCCACGCATATAAAGAATTTATAGTGATAAACTTTGTCAGTCAGCCCAAATAACTTTTACGCCCACAGAATGCAGTCTTGCTTAAAGCAAAGTGATGCAACACCTGGGCTCCTCTTTACTAGGCAACCATGCCACTACAAATAATAGTTTTTGTTTACACATAGCCTTAAGGGGAACTCAATCACAGGGTATAATTGTGGCTACTGCAGGCTCCTATGCAGGACAATATGAAAGATGATTGATTCGGTCATGCTAAACATCCTCTCAATTTTAAGTCTGTTATGAATATAATTCCCAGCTTATAGAAATAAAAAAAATCTGTTGTATACACAAAGACCTCTTTAAAATGTCACAAGAGGAATACACATTTTGCGTTTGAAAAATAGCGACAATGTGGAGTTGTCCAGGAATATTTGGCAGCAAATAGTGTAAAATTGATGTCCTATATAACTTAACAAACAACAGATTACAAAATGAAAACAAAGGGATGAAGTAAATCAATTTTGAGAGGTGAAAAGGAAGCGTGTTAACAATTTTACATACCTTCACAAGCTGTATTCCATGAGATCTGAAAAAACAATACAAAAAAACATGTGAACAAGTATCCATTTCTTGCACAAACACTGCACAAAGTTATTTTAATTGTTAACTCAGCAAAAGTGTTGGCTTTTGACCAAATGTGGGCAAATGTTTGTGCCACATGCATTCTTCACTTGACAATTCATAGCTAAGGTATTGCAGTGCATTTGTGAATTACTTTATTGATTAGTTCCGGTGACAATATTAACAACACAAGACAGCGTAGTTTTCAGGATTTTTAATCAAGCCCATCTCCAAGATATTCTATCCCACCCTCTAAAGAGTGTGTTTATACCACGGTAAAATTTTAGACATAATCAACCCACAGAGTATTTTTGAGTGGACTCGAAAGAAGCATTTTAGAATATCATGTAATTGAATGACATTACCATGCAATTTCATATGCAATGGAACTCACACAAACACATTGTTAGGAGCAATTTAACATCATTCACACACGCACACGCAATTATCCAGCTCAACAACATCAATGTATATTTATAGTTGTTTCTCTACGTCAACATCAGCCATATGAAGAAGACATTTGTCAGGCGTGTAAATGAAATAAAAACAAGCTGGTGGCAGCCCAACCTATGGATGGCACGACACTTTTTCTTAAGTGCAATCCTCACTAAAACTGCAAAAGGGAAGAAACTCTAAACATGTCTAAAACCCAACAGTGTGGTGAAGGGTTTCAGCAATAGATTTTTTTGATCGAGGTAATAAAACCAATCCCATACATAGCTCATGGCCATAACCTGGTTCCTCCTGGTATAATACTTACTCTGTTTGACAAAAGTTACTCAAGTGCTGCGACTCAAAGTGTGAATCACAGACGGACAAATAATTAAAAAAATTAACAATGTAGATAGACAAACCTAAATTTGACCAATGAAATGTTGATTTCAGCACAAAACTGTACCTCCGTCAAAAGAACACTGCCACCTTTTAACAAGAAGAAAATCCTAGCAAAGGGTCAACTCATCCCAAACACATATCCAATGGAGACGCTTTATATTAGTGTTTTGTGCGCACAGTATAACTAACGACACCCTAAAGGCAACTTACATGTAAAGCTGTAATTCTGTGATCATTTAAATATATTTCAATCGCAAACTTGTCATCTATGGCAAGAGCATTAGGTGCTGTAATGAAGCATCAATTCAAATTGATTCTCATGTTGATGATCCATCAGTCGAATTGTACGCTTTAAAATAAATTAGGTAAACAGTATTATGATTTTGCTTGTGTACCCAGGAAAACATCACCGAGTCTGAAGACTCTTCTTCAAGGGGGTCCTGCCAAGTTTTCACAGTATTGGGCAATGTTCCTGCTGCGTAATACCAATTGAGTGGTTTGCGGGATCATTTTTCAGCACCGAGATGGTTTTTGACCAATACCAGTTGTATACAGTGTATGCTTTCTTTAGGTATGGGAGGAAACCAGAGCACCCAGATGAAACCCGTGCAGAACAAGCACAAAAATAGATCTCCACTCAGAAGGAGTTTATGGAAATATTAACATATGCTGTTGTATTCGGCTAAGTGTGGGAGAACAATAGTCTATGGGCCACATCTGACTTGCAAATTAATTTCATGTGGCCCATGTCTACATGAGGCTTATCACTTGGAAAATGCCTGCCAAACTATATTTATCCAGCACTGCAAGCAGCTTAGCTACACGAATGGGATATTAAACGGAAATAATGTTTAATCCAGCAAACGCTCTTTCTAAATTGAGCAAGTTTAGTCATTGCTGTCACGGCAGTAAAGGAGAGTCCAAAGTGTGTTTTATTGTTGGATACTGCTAAGATGTGTGCTAGCACCACAGGTAATCGGCCGTCAGTAAAGCTTTCTCACACCAAAACTCAGTTAAATGGAGCGAAGAAAACTGTAGAAATGAGACGGGAAAAAAGAGGAACAACCCCCACGTGACTGTAAAAGCCAGACCAAACAAAGAATCTGATGTTGATATCACATTGCGACTTGCAAATCGTGACAATTTATAAAAAATATATATTGTGAAGGGTGCTGGGGAGGTGTTAATCATTACACACTGGCAGAATGTCACCGGAGAATGTCACTATGCCTGGACCTTTAAACAATGCAGTATTCTGTAAATCGGTGAGTGACCCGTTTTGTGCACCCTACGTAGGATGAATCGAACGGATCCTGCGAGACCAGTGCGATCAAAGTGTACCCACTATGGCTGTGCGATAAATTGCATGCAGCCATGTCCACGTGATTGGCAAATCAATAGTATCTTGTGGGCGTATATGACAGCATGGCTGTACCCTATTACAGCACACAACAAATACATTGTATTAATCAGATGATACTTTCGAAAACGCAGCTAACAAATTGCAATAAATCCAAGATTATTTTATTTTTTTCATTCACTTCAAATTTTTTACATATAATTTCTTTATTACGTGCATTTGCATACTTCAGTTTTAATATTTTAGTCGTGACTAGCAGGTGTTTTTGGGAAAGGTGTACTATCTATATGCATCATCGTCAGGATCCATTCTAAGAATTTTATAATGCAAACAAAACACCATTCAAATGTATTTCTATTTTATCCGAAATTATCAATGGAATTCTTGATTAAAGCCTCCACAAGAGTGTCGCCATCTTTCAAGATCCAGCGATGCAATGATCCATCTTTGTCAATCCCATGATGACAAATGGCCTGCTCGTGTCATTCATTTGGATTGTTTGTCCATATTTTACCGTGCTGGTTAGTGTGGATTACCAAAGATGGGAGTGGGGGGGGGGTGATCTTGGACCGGTTCAGATATATATAACTTGCTACTAACATTATTCAGCCCCAGGAACTGAACTCAACTTGCCCAGTTCATAGCAGTGGGTTAATCACCGCCTCTCATCCTTACTCCTGCATTGTTTTCCAACGAAACACGGACATTCTTTATTTAATCACTACGCCTTAATACGTGGACAGATCGATTAAGTGGCACGCAGATTGTTTACAAGCAGAATGCATGAGGCACGCCCACTTTACACTTGGTAAGACTTGCTCACAGCGGACGGATGTTTAAATGGCGCAACCACTCATGAGGATGGGGTATCAAAAGACGCCAAAGCAATCTCCACACACAGTCAGCATAACATCCTCTTCGGAGGCCGGCGTTGCTATACTCAAGCTCCACAAGGTGATGCAACTTTACCATATACATACGACAGCTTCAGAATTCTCGGATTTTAAATGAGTGTGTTGCTTGATGTTGGAATGTGAAAAAGCCTATTGACACGTCAGGGAATAAAGCGTGGGTAATTCTACTGCAATGGCAACAAGGGTTAGGGAAAACACAACAAATCTATTTATCATTTTACCAGGTAAGGCTCACTGAGCTATGTAGATCTTTTTCAGAATGTGACCTGGCCACAAATGATTGCCCAACGAAGTGGCTTATCACGTGGAAATATATAGCAGCCACTCACTCTACATGCATTTTGATTCTAAATGAAGAGAGAAAAAAACGGAGGGCCCGGAGATGAATCCACGCGACCACGGGGGAGAACGTGCAAATTCCAAATATACAGCAGGTGTGTCAGGGTCGGGATCGAACCCACGATCTCCTGTATACCAGGTGAGGTAGTTAACAACTCGCCACCACGGCGCAAGTACTGTGGTCAGACTTCTGCTCCACCTGGCTGGCAGGGAGGAGCGTGGGGTAAATATTCTCACTGATAAAAGGAGGCCCCTCTGTTTACATTGAGGAGTTAGTTGGGGGTACTGTGTCACAGGACAAACCTTTACTCCCCCGAGATAGGAACAGCTATATAAAGTTTGGATTGAGAATAACGTCTGATCAGCACCCAGGTAACAAAGTCTGAGATCCTAAAAGATGAATTACTCAAGCTGCTCAGTCAGTGTACTTTTAAAGAAACCAAAGGAAATCAGACGTGTAAGAATGTTCCACTCTTGTGACCCAATGAACGGTCAACGATTCAGCTGGTGCCTGTAGAATATGTCATAAAGGGGCCCTAAATATATATTTTTTAAACACAAATATTAAAACACTATTTTTTAACGAGTATAGTAAAGTAATTGTATTTTTTTTATTTGCTATACAGCTCGATAATACGACAAATCGCTAACCTTAAACACCCAGTCGTTCATAAAAGTTGAAGACAGTATAATACTATAGAAATAAAGCAAGTGCAGAATCACTCAACCGGAATTGACAGCTTGAAAGCAAGTGCGTGGCCCGTAGCATATTCAGCTACTTTTGCTCCTAGGATAATCCGGCACTGCTACAGAGGGATTTAAAATAAGAGTTTTAGTTCATATGCGGACAAAGATACAAAGCGCCGAATCTTGGCGGCATTAAGCCACGACAGTAGTTGGGATACAATGTGGCTCGGAATTATGTTAGAGCCTCTAGTGGCGGCATGGGTCAAATTACAGTACACTAAATACCATACATCGCTTCAGCGCAATTGAAATCTAATACTCCTCAACATGCATCGAAAGCGTCCACATTTTTTAAAATCGATTTTCCATCAATAAACTTGCTCTATCATGTCGCCTCTATAAGACGGACAGTTAGAAACAACACCACATTCGTGTATTTGACTATGGCCTTTGAGCAGAGTCCACTTTATAAACCAACATTCCTCCAGCGAATGTAAGAGGTCAGCAGCAGCAGCAACATGAATTAACACGTGGTGCAGTTCTGTATACTGTGCGTGCGGTATGGTATTAGAATGCATGGTTTTGTTCCCACGTATATGCATCGAGGCAGCAGGTCTGTGAGAATAAAAGCGCTTTACAGCTCATCGGATTCCTCCACCATACATTCATCTTCAGAGTCAAATGTCCAGAATTCGCGAAAGCGAGCATCATCGCACGACAGACTCGATGATCAGCCAACAAATGCTGGCCCACAGCACAGTTTAGTGGTGGCATGCCCCAGGTGACACGACCAGAAACTGGCAAGCCGCAATAGAAATCACCCCACCACTCTCTACGCCCGTACAGTCGTGCCCACATCTCGACTGTGGGTTGCCCTGCCAACAAAAACCGACATTTGCTACAGCATTGGCAGCCAATGTAACACCTTTTAGAACAAAAACACATTTTAACTCTCCCGTTCATTCATCGTTCAATGGTACTTGCTCGCATCTAAGGCTCTCTCCTCTGTCTTTCTCCCTCTCTCTCTCTGTGTCTCTTTTAAAGGCAACTGCGTGCGACGAAATCGCAACCCCCCCCAAGCAAATGGAAAGCCACAAACAGTGTAGCAAAAAAAAAAGTCAAGACCCAAATGTTTACGAAAACGCAATATGACCTGGCCTGACTACTACCGCATTCAATTCGCGTGTCCCATCACGGTACGAAAACTCACTCCGATAGGCAATTAATAATTAATTGAATCAGCAAGCCCATTACGTAAGAATTGGCCTGCCACTGAAAACAATTCATCAAGTGCAGGCACCCACCGGGCCAAGACCGTACACCGGCCATCTCGACACGGTTTTGCTCTGCACATCCCCAACACGAAACCCCTTCCCATGTCGCCTACCTTTGAATCTAACAGCTGAGTTACTATTTAGTGTGCGCTGCCCGGTCGTTGTTTGCCCCGATGACATTCAGTTTGCATGTGGGTGCTTTATTGGCATCATCTCGATCATGATGAGCATCATCACGATCAAGCCCCGTCTTGTTCAATCAGCGGGCGGGTGGGTGTCAAAATTTTTTATTAAAAAACCCTTACCTTGTGCGAAATTGAAATCTGCTGCATGCATGTACACCCATGAATAGGGCTGAACGATTAATCGATTTAAAATCGAAATAGCAATTTGAAACAATGCGATTAGCAAATCGCAAATGCGATTGTTTGCGATTTGAAAAGTCCTCTTACTTTATTATTGGAGTTGTGTTTTTTTTATTATAACTTTATTTATTTAACTTAACAATTGCTCTATGATTGTTCTAGTTCAATTCAAACATTTTAATAAATACATGTTGGAAGCAATTCATATCTTTTAAGTTCTCATCCTTGCATTATAATCTATAGAGCAGTTCATATTTTGATGGTAGCATGTGCTAATGCTCCATCGCATGTTTTAAATCTATTACACAGCGAATAATTGAACTGAAGCTTCACTTAAAAAAATCAAATAGCCAATATCTTGTCAGCAAAATCGCAATTAGATATTTCCCCACAAATCGTTTGGCCCTCACCCGGTGAGCCCCAGCAAAACAGGAAATGTGCTTGCACGAAAAGCACGAGCTGAATGAACTAAACCAGTCAATACTGGTCTGAGTTCTAAGCGATCATAAACCAAAGGCGTCGTCGAGACCGATTGTCACGGACACACCAACACCCGATGTGAACAAGGCGTCTCTCTCTCTCGTCAAACTTAAGGGACGACCGTGTCTAAAACAAAGTTTCCAGGGCCTCGATGCGAATACTGACCTTGCTCGAGCCATGGGCGAGCAGACACACGAGGTGGGTTCGATGGACAGACGAGAGAGACGGCCCAGATAAGGCGCAAGACCAGACGCAGGAAGATTGAGAGACACACGGATGAGACGTGAGACATATAAGACGCACACACACAAGATGAGACGTGAGACATATAAGACACTCAAACGAAACACCGAGACGCTCAGCTGGTAAAACATGGGAAACAGAACAGACTCAAGATGAGAGACACCCCCCCCCTCATGTGTTGTGTCTCCATGTGAGCCACACAACAGAGGAAACAAAAAAGCATGAAAGCCAGCCACAGATGAGACGCACCACACACACACATGACCCACGGAGATGACACACACACACATGACACACACACATGATCCACGGAGATGACACACACACATATGACACACACACACACACGACACACGGAGATGACACACACACACACATGACACACACACACACGACCCACGGAGATGATACACACACACATGACACACACACACATGACACACACACGACCCACGGAGATGACACACACACACATGACACACACATGACACACACATGACCCACGGAGATGACACACACACACACACATGACACACACACATGACCCACGGAGATGACACACACACACACACATGACACACACACACATGACACACGAAGATGACACACACACAGATGACACACACACGACCCACGGAGATCACACACACACACACATGACACACACACACATGACCCACGGAGGTGACACACACATGACCCACGGAGGTGACACACACACATGACACACACACATGGCACACACATGACACATGACCCACACACACATGACCCATGGAGATGACACACACACACATGACACACACACACACGACCCGAGAAATGACACACACACACATGACACACACACACACACGACCCATGTAGATGACACACAACCAAGACCCCCTTCCTCACCTGCACAGCTCAGCGAAGACGTGAAAGTTCAACTTTTTCCTCTTTTTGTCGCTCAGCCAGTATCCAACCACAGGCTGCTGCTGCTGCTGTTGTTGTTGTAGCTGCTGCTGCTGTTGTTGTAGCTGCTGCTGCTGTTGTTGGTGGTCAAGGGCAGTGCTCACGGCCACCCCTGAAGGTGCCAACCCCTGCATCTTCCCCATCGCAGGCAGCCTCTGTCGCCTCTGCTCTCACCCCTCGTCGACACACTCCGTAGCGGGCAGCACACGAAGCCCTCCCTCTCACCAGCCCCCTCGTCCCCTTCGTTGTGGGCGGGTGAGTGGGTGGGTGGGTGTCTGTGGCTCTCCTCCCAATCGATTCCTCCAACGACCACCACCAACCCCGACACGACCCGGGTGTCAAACCTGGGCAGGTGGGCAGAGGGACACGGTCGAGACGCTTTAGCACAAAGCACACGCGGCCGAGGAGCCCCCAGATTTGATGATTGTCGATGTTACAGCCACGGCGCGTGTACAGTGAGGTGGTGGGGGTGGTGGTGATGGTGGTGATGGTGGTGGTGGTTATGGTGGTGGTGGTGGTGGTGAGGGTGGTGGAGGTGGTGATGGTGGTGGTGATGGTGGTGATGATGGTGGTGGTGATGGTGGTGATGATGGTGGTGGTGGTGGGGGTGATGGTGGTGGTGATGGTGGTGATGGTGGTGGTTATGGTGGTGGTGATGGTGAGGGTGGTGGAGGTGGTGATGGTGGTGGTGATGGTGGTGGTGATGGTGGTGATGGTGGTGATGATGGTGGTGATGGTGGTGGTGATGGTGGTGGGGGTGATGGTGGCTCTGCGGACTTGCGTCGGAGTGGCGTGCGGGTGATGCAGTCTCGCCACGGGCTACGTGTGTGTGGTGTGTGTGCGTGGTGTGTGGGGTGTGTGTGGTGTGTGCGTGTTGTGTGCGGGGTGTGTGTGTTGTGTGTGGTGTGTGTGTGGTGAGTGTGTGTAGTGTGTGTGTGTGTGCGTGTTGTGTGCGGGGTGTGTGTGTTGTGTGTGTGGTGAGTGTGTGTGGTATGTGTAGTGTGTGTGTGGGGTGTGTGGTGTGTGTGCGTGTTGTGTGCGTGGTGTGTGTGTGGTGTGTGGGGTATGTGGGGTGTGTGTATGGGGTGTGTGGTGTGTGTGTGTTGTGTGTGTGCTGTGTGTGTGTTGTGTGTGTGTTGTGTGTGTGTTGTGTGTGTGTTGTGTGTGTGCTGTGTGTGTGGTGTGTGTGGGGTGGTGTGTGTGTGTGTGGTGTGTGTGTGGTGTGTGCGTGTTGTGTGTGTTGTGTGTGTGTTGTGTGTGTGCTGTGTGTGTGGTGTGTGTGGGGTGGTGTGTGTGTGTGGTGTGTGTGTGGTGTGTGCGTGTTGTGTGTGTGTGGTGTATGTATGTGTGGTGTGTGTGCGTGGTGTGTGTGTGGGTTTGGTGTGTGGTGTGTATGTGGTGTGTGTGCTGTATGTATGTGTGGTGTGTGTGGTGTGTGTGCTGTATGTATGTGTGGTGTGTGTGGTGTGTGTGCTGTATGTATGTGTGGTGTGTGTGGTGTGTGCGTGTTGTGTGGTGTGTGTATGTGTGTGTATGTATGTGTGGTGTGTGCGTGGTGTATGTATGTGTGTGGTATGTGTGTGGTGTGTGTGTGGTGTGTATGTATGTGTGTGGTGTGTGTGCTGTATGTGTGTGTGGTGCGTGCGTGCGAGAAAAGGCAGAGAGAGTGCGTAAGCAGCGTGCGAAGCGCATTTTACCCTGGCGTGACAACGGCGCTGAGCTGCGGCTGCTGCTGCTGCTCGCTGCTGTCGGAGCGAGGAGTAAGTGGTTCCGTGTGGTGGTGGTGGTTGTTGTGGTGGTGGTGGTTGTTGTGGTGGTGGTGGTTGTGGCGTGTGGTGGTGGTGAGTGGCGAGTGTGCGACGCTGTGGAGACGGCGCGCGCCTTAGCGAAACGGCGGCCCCGCGGCGCTTCCGCCTACACAGGGCGGGGCCGGCATGGGGGCGGGGCCGGCAGGGGGGGGCGAGAAGATTCGGGGTGGGAGGGGCAAGGGGGGCAGGGGGGGTGAGGAGAGGCAAATGGGGGGGGGGGGGGTTGAGGTTAGGGGGGGGGGGGTGAAGGGGGAGGTGAGGAGAGGCAAATGGGGGGGGGGTGAAGGGGGGGTGAGGAGAGGCAAATGGGGGGGGGGGGGTGAAGGGGGGGTGAGGAGAGGCAAATGGGGGGGGGGGGGTTGAGGTTAGGGGGGGGGGGTGAAGGGGGAGGTGAGGAGAGGCAAATGGGGGGGGTGAGGTTAGGGGGGGTGAAGTTAGAGGGAGAGGTGAGGAGAGGCAAATGGGGGGGGGGGGGTTGAGGTTAGGGGGGGGTGAAGGGGGAGGTGAGGAGAGGCAAATGGGGGGGGTGAAGGGGGGGTGAGGAGAGGCAAATGGGGGGGGTGAAGGGGGGGTGAGGAGAGGCAAATGGGGGGGGGGGTGAAGGGGGGGTGAGGAGAGGCAAATGGGGGGGGGGTGAGGTTAGGGGGGGTGAAGTTAGGGGGAGAGGTGAGGAGAGGCAAATGGGGGGGGGGGGTGAAGGGGGGGGGTGAGGAGAGGCAAATGGGGGGGGTGAGGTTAGGGGGGGTGAAGTTAGGGGGAGAGGTGAGGAGAGGCAAATGGGGGGGGGGGGTGAAGGGGGGGGGGTGAGGAGAGGCAAATGGGGGGGGGGTGAGGTTAGGGGGGGTGAAGTTATGGGGAGAGGTGAGGAGAGGCAAATGGGGGGGGGGTTGAGGTTAGGGGGGGGGTGAAGGGGGAGGTAAGGAGAGGCAAATGGGGGGGGGGTGAAGGGGGGGGTGAGAGGCAAATGGGGGGGGGGTGAGGTTAGGGGGGGTGAAGGGGGGGGTGAGGAGAGGCAAATGGGGGGGGTGAGGTTAGGGGGGGTGAAGTTAGGGGGAGAGGTGAGGAGAGGCAAATGGGGGGGGGGTGAAGGGGGGGGTGAGGAGAGGCAAATGGGGGGGGGGTGAGGTTAGGGGGGGTGAAGTTAGGGGGAGAGGTGAGGAGAGGCAAATGGGGGGGGGGGGTGAAGGGGGGGGTGAGGAGAGGCAAATGGGGGGGGGGTGAGGTTAGGGGGGGTGAAGTTAGGGGGAGAGGTGAGGAGAGGCAAATGGGGGGGGGTTGAGGTTAGGGGGGGGTGAAGGGGGAGGTAAGGAGAGGCAAATGGGGGGGGTGAAGGGGGGGGTGAGGAGAGGCAAATGGGGGGGGTGAAGGGGGGGGTGAGGAGAGGCAAATGGGGGGGGTGAAGGGGGGGGTGAAGTTAGGGGGAGAGGTGAGGAGAGGCAAATGGGGGGGGGGGGTGAAGGGGGGGGTGAGGAGAGGCAAATGGGGGGGGGGTGAGGTTAGGGGGGGTGAAGTTAGGGGGAGAGGTGAGGAGAGGCAAATGGGGGGGGGGTGAAGGGGGGGGGGTGAGGAGAGGCAAATGGGGGGGGGGTGAGGTTAGGGGGGGTGAAGTTAGGGGGAGAGGTGAGGAGAGGCAAATGGGGGGGGGTTGAGGTTAGGGGGGGGGGTGAAGGGGGTGGTGAGGAGAGGCAAATGGGGGGGGGTGAAGGGGGGGGTGAGGAGAGGCAAATGGGGGGGGGGGTGAAGGGGGGGTGAGGAGAGGCAAATGGGGGGGGTGAAGGGGGGGTGAGGAGAGGCAAATGGGGGGGGGGGGGGTGAAGGGGGGGTGAGGAGAGGCAAATGGGGGGGGGTGAAGGGGGGGTGAGGAGAGGCAAATGGGGGGGGTGAGGTTAGGGGGGGTGAAGTTAGGGGGAGAGGTGAGGAGAGGCAAATGGGGGGGGGGGGTGAAGGGGGGGGTGAGGAGAGGCAAATGGGGGGGGTGAGGTTAGGGGGGGTGAAGTTAGGGGGAGAGGTGAGGAGAGGCAAATGGGGGGGGGGGGGTGAAGGGGGGGTGAGGAGAGGCAAATGGGGGGGGGGGGTGAGGTTAGGGGGGGTGAAGTTAGGGGGAGAGGTGAGGAGAGGCAAATGGGGGGGGGGGGGTTGAGGTTAGGGGGGGGGTGAAGGGGGAGGTAAGGAGAGGCAAATGGGGGGGGTGAAGGGGGGGGTGAGGAGAGGCAAATGGGGGGGGGGGTGAGGTTAGGGGGGGTGAAGGGGGGGTGAGGAGAGGCAAATGGGGGGGTGAGGTTAGGGGGGGTGAAGTTAGGGGGAGAGGTGAGGAGAAGCAAATGGGGGGGGGGGGTGAAGGGGGGGGTGAGGAGAGGCAAATGGGGGGGGGGGTGAGGTTAGGGGGGGTGAAGTTAGGGGGAGAGGTGAGGAGAGGCAAATGGGGGGGGGGGGTGAAGGGGGGGGTGAGGAGAGGCAAATGGGGGGGGGGGTGAGGTTAGGGGGGGTGAAGTTAGGGGGAGAGGTGAGGAGAGGCAAATGGGGGGGGGTTGAGGTTAGGGGGGGTGAAGGGGGAGGTAAGGAGAGGCAAATGGGGGGGGTGAAGGGGGGGTGAGGAGAGGCAATGGGGGTGAGGAGAGGCAAATGGGGGGGGTGAAGGGGGGGGTGAGGAGAGGCAAATGGGGGGGGTGAAGGGGGGGGTGAGGAGAGGCAAATGGGGGGGGTGAGGTTAGGGGGGGGTGAAGGGGGAGGTAAGGAGAGGCAAATGGGGGGGTGAAGGGGGGGGGGTGAGGAGAGGCAAATGGGGGGGGGGGGTTGAGGTTAGGGGGAGAGGAGGGGATTAAGAGGGGGGGGGGGGTGGAGAAGTGGAAGGAAGGGAATGGGAGAAGGTGGGGGGAGGCAAAGTGAGGAGTGAGGTAAAGGGGGGGGGGCAAAGAGAGGGGGGGCAAAGATGGGGGGGAAATGGGGGGGGCAAATGGGGGGGGGCAAATGGGGGGGGGAAATGGGGGGGGGGGCAAAGGGGAAGGGCTAAGGGAGGGGGGCCGAGAAGTGTCGGGGGGAGAGAGGGGCAGGGGGAGAGGTGAGAAGAGGCAACTCGGGGGGGGGGTTAAGAGGGGGGGGGGGAAGAAGTTGAATATTGGAGAAATGTGAGTAAGGGGATGGGAGAAGGGAGGCAAGGTACCGAGGTAAGAATATAGGATGTGGGGAGAGATAGGTAAGAGCGGGAGAGGGAAGATGAGAAGGGGGAAAAGGGGCAAAGGGAGACGGGGGAATAGATGATCAAAGCAGGCAGGAGGAGCAGGAGGAGCAGGAGGAGGAGATGATAGAACGGCGATGAGAGAAGAGGGAGGGATGTTGGAGGGAGATGGGGTTCAGGGGAAAGAAGGGCCAGAGCAAGGGGGAAATGGGAGGGGAGAGAGGAGCAGAGGGTGGGGGTAGTGATTGCACAGGAGGGAGAGATGGGAGGGGCAGAAATGGAGGCGAGAGAATGGAGCCGGGGGTGGTGGGGGGGGGCTGGAGCTGAAGCTGGCGAGTGGACAATTAGGCTGGTATGGGCGCAGAGGCTGTGTTGGGCTGGGCTAAGGAGGGACATCCTAGTGAGTGAGCGTGGAATGCGCCAGAAGGGACAAGGGGTCACGGGGTGAACAGCGCTCTGAGATTTGGGTTGGGGATACACGGGGAAGAGAGGAGGGAGAGAGGGTGAGGTGAATAACAAAGATGATGGCTTGGTTGGGCTGGGAAGGCGTGGGCGAGAAAGGACAGGGGGGATTCGAAGCCTAGGAGAGTAAAATGTTGTGGGGCGGTGGAGGGAGGGGGATATGGGAAATTGGGTTGGGCTCGGGTCTGGGTATAAATTGGCAATAGCGAGCGGGGAATGCGATCAAAGTAGGGGGAGACACTGGACGAATGAGATGAAGCATCCGGATGGATCAGTGAGTAGTGGTAGTAGTAGTTCGGCGAGAGGAGGAGGTGCTTGCTAATGAATGGCAAATGAGATGGGCAAAGTCAGAGACTGGGTTGACCAATGTAATTCTGTTTGCTCGAGCAACTGCAGTTCATTCGTACAAAAACGCGGTTGGAAATTCGAAATGATGGATCCAAAATATTACACATTTGATGGCATTTATCCTGCTCAAGGCCACATTTTTTCGCATGTTTTATTATGCAACACATGTATTTATGTTGCAATAAACAAGAAGGGGAACATTCCATGTTTCTAAAGGTAGTCGTTTCTCCTCTTTATAATTAGAAACGCATTTGAAAGTATTTAAAAAACTCGGCATTCTATTTTACAAGCAGAATCGCCCACCCTAGGGGTGGAATGTGGAACTGGTGTTGTGGGTCACGTGATGTGACAGGCCAGATCTCATTGAGGCAACATAAGGTGGCAGCAATAATACTCTTAGGTTTTTTCGGTAAAGTCACGTAGGTAAAAATAAAAATTAATAATACAAATAATAGAAATAATAATAGTAGAAATAAAATAATAAATCACGACGTTTCGGAGGAAACACGAGCGTCCTTCGTCAGGTGTAAAAAGCCACATTAAAGTAACTGTAGTGGGAGTTATTTATGATGGGGCATTAATATATAGGGTAAGAGGAGGGAAGCTTGTGTTGCCTCCGAAACGTCGTGATTTACTATTATTATTTCTACTATTGTTATTTTTTATTTTATTTTTACCTACGTGACTTTACCGAATAAACCTAAGAGTATGAATCCTTGCAGTCACGAAAGCTTTAAATCTAGAATAAATGGTAGCAATAACTTTCACAAAGGAAAGACCATGGGAAATGTGCACATGTTCAAGGAAGTAAAACAATCAATTTGCAAGGATTGAAAGGAGAACATGAAAACGATATGCTGCACATTGGCATGTGAACATGTACTGCCCTCTTCTTGGTTCTTTCGGTAAAGTCACGTAGAAGGGAAGTAATAAAATAATAATAATAAAACATAATCAAATAATTCTCACGACGTTTCGGCCACAACGCAAGCAGCCGTCCTCAGGTGAAGACCAGGTCTGTCGGGGAGACAGCGTTTGAATTCAGGTGAAGATCAGGTCTGTCGGGGAGACAGCGTCTGAATTCAGACGCTGTCTCCCCGACAGACCTGGTCTTCACCTGA